GCAGTGCACTCTGTGTTGCTGCGACAGAATCCACGACTGTAGCCCTCTCATTCAAATACAGCTGTTAAATGTCTTTTAAAGTGATATTGTCAGCACCTTTGGAAGACTATGTTGGACTGTGCTTATGGGAGACCTATGGATAAATCAACAAGTAGCAACCTTAGCAACAGTAAAAGGTCCAGTTCCCCTCAAGAGCCTCCACTGTAACAAGAATCCACAAGCTGTATAAACATGAGCAAGAGTTGGAACCATTGTATACAGTGGTGTCTCTACATGAGGGGCCTGGCCCCACCAGATGTCGCTGTGGTGCAGAGCACAACATGATCAATAATTCAGTATAACAAGTAGTGTGTGGAATGTATCGGACAGCCCCACCATTGTCATATGTAATAAACATGCAACTATATATATATATATATATATATATATATATATATGTATATTGCATATATATATATACATATGACAATGGTGGGGCTGTCCGATACATTCCAAGTATATTCCTGTACCTGTTGTGTAAATGCCAGTAGGTTACCTATTTCTCCTAGCAGTCTTTGTTTGGTGAGTGTGGGGCTGGCCCGTCAGCGCTCGTCTAACTAAGTGAGCAGTTAAAAAACACTCTATAAAATTAATAAATTTACATACGTCAAGACGCTTGGTAAACGTTGTTTATGGTGTGGGTGTTGCTACGCAGCTCGCCATTGTTTCTCATCAGTTGTGGTTGTCACTCATAATAGGCAAGGCAATATGAGTCAAGTTGCAAATGTAATAAAAGTTCAAATTGGTTCCAGCCATTAGAGCAGAAATTAGAGATTAAACGTTTGGGACCAGACCAGCCAGAGGATTTCAACATCATTCAGTCATTCAGTCTGCTTTCCTTGCCTGCCCTTGCTATGGTATCACTTGAATCCATTCATGAATTGGTGGACCTTTGAGAGAAAAGTTTTTGACAAGTTTACTCAGATGAAAGACATGTTGTGCATCTTGTCTTTTCAAGCAGTGGACGTCACCGGTGAGTCATTTTGCAGTATTACAAGGCATGTTATTCCTAATGCCTGGAAAGCGTGTTTCCCTGCTCTGATACGTTGCTTGGGTATGTATTTGCAGACCACAGTGACCGTTTACTGCTAGATAACTTTTGATCTGTAATGCTGTGTATTTCTCACTGGATGTCAGTGATGACATTATAATTCAAAAAAATTATAGTGTGCCTTCAAACAGAGCTCACCACTTCAGTTCTCATGGAAACCTGGTCAGTTTGAATTTTGATTCTGTTCTCCAGCCTCTTGAATAGGTGAGTTGGGAATAAAAATGTAGGCTGGACTGGGAGTATCTGGCCTAAGGCACTCTTACTGGACACTGCAATGCAATGTTAAAGGTTCAATCTGAGGATGATTCATTCGTACTTGTCCACTTCCAAGTCCCTATCTGAAAAAGCAGAGGAGGGGGGTGGCTGGTGTAGAATGCTTTCTTGGCTGTGATTTCAGATAGACAAACCTGGTTCATCTAGAAGCCTCTTCTCAAATTTGCACTGCTCTAGTAATCTTGTCCTCTCATCCTCCCTCACCTTTTAACCTGAAACGGCTGGCAAATCTTCCTTTCCCTCCATGTCCTCTCATCCGTCCATCCATTCTTCCCTCTTTCCACTCCTCTCCGCTTCCCCCAGATGTCAGAGATGTGTCAGGCCGGCAGTGGGCCAGTGTGGGGCCAGCGTGGGGCTACTTTAACCAAACCACAGCTTCAGGGTGGGGGAAGAGGCTGCTGAATGTTTTATGGGCTGCCGTGTGCCCAGAGTGGAAATCAAAGGCGGCCGGCAGCAGGAAAGTTCCCCCTCCTTTCTCCTTTCGCCTCTTCTACTCTTCTCTCTCTCGCTCACTCCCTTTCCCTCTCTCAGTTCCCTGCTGCGCTGGAATCCCTCCCAGGTCTGTCTGGGTTTGGAGGTACAGGGGCACCTGGCTTATAGCTGAAAGGGTTACCACAACAGATGGCTACTGCAAAAATAAGAGGAAAAAAAGAACAGGCACTAAAAACAAGGGGTGGGGAGGATGCAGCTTCCAAAATAGCCCGAGTGAAGGCCCGAGTCAAGGTTTACGAAAATAATCATAATAATAGTCGTCATAACGATGAGGATGATGGTGGCAAATTAGCAAGTCAAATAAGGAAAGAGGCTGCTAGCAGATGATGCTTCTGAGCCTGGCTTTGATCTCGCTGGCAAGAGAACGAGGGGTTTCAGCTGGAAATGAATAGCAAAAAAAAAAGGGCGGGGAGTGGAGGAGAAAACAGGAAATCACTGCCAAGCCTCAACTTGACCGTTGTTGCACACTTGAGAGTCTTTTCATTTTTTAAAGTGCCCTGCACCAAGGGAGAAGTACTGCTGTGGATATCTATGTGCGCCAAAAGTCTACCTGTACCATTTTGACATATGGCCTCTCTTTTTTTGACCCTTTGTTTTTTTCCATTTTCTGCCCACCCTGAGGTGGTTACTCATCTGGTAATAATGATGCATGCAACTCCCTGGCAGGCCCATTTCCGAGGCGGCCAGCCGATAGATGGCACGAACTGAGGTGCTGGTGAGGGGAGGGGGGGGGAGAAAGTGATGGCATCCTAGCTTTGGCACTCCCTACCCAGGGCGATGAAAGTGTCTGATGCAATATCATATAAAAATCGATTGCACTGTCTTGCTCTTGTGGATATGGGGTGGCCCAGATCTTGTGTCTGTGTCCCAGCTTGGAATGGCCAGTCTGTGACAAAGGAATGTGTGTGTGTGGACGGCAAAGACCTGCTGATCCTGATACCCAAAACCCACCACTCGCTAAGATCTTCCTTGTCGTCCCAAGGATGGACATTGATCGTTTTGTGGGACACGTTTACATTCTCCAGCCAACTGCTTTACGCTCCGCAGCCCCTGTCAATCAAAAGACTCTGAGCGTGAAGGGGATACCCCCCAGAGTCCTGCTATGGGCCTCAGCAATCTCTACAACCTCTCCCCACGAAGAGCCATGGGCACCATTGGTACTGCACCTGATGGAATGTGTTTTTCATGATCTTAAAGCATTTTAATCTAAAGGCTTAAACACTTTAAATGTGTTTCTAAGACAAATATAAATAGTGAAACTCTTGCCCAATGAACAAATTTATTTCCAAATAAATTTAAAAAATATTTTTTGAAATGCTTCACCTGCCAACAAGTGTTCAGCATATGTGGGGTTTCTGCAGTCCTGTTGGAAAAGCCTCCCAGGTGGCAACTTACAAAGCTGCTTCAGAGACCACCAAGAGTGGGCAGAGGCTCATCAAGACAAAGCAGCGGGCTACTAAGAATGTAAAATAAGAGATAGTTTGGATTGTTTGACACATTTGATGATTCCATATCTGATATTTCATAGTTTGGGTGTGTTCCCTGCTATTGCAAAATGTGGAAAATGGTAAAAAAAGGAAATAAAAGGTTTTAAATTTATAACTGGTACTGTACACATTCTACTCTCTTACACATCCAGTCAGCTTCCCATTATTACTTACTTATAGATGCTAAAAACTAGCTGTAGAACACCAACTGTTCTCAGGATGCAACTAGCAATTATTTCTGTGATTGATAAACCAATCGACTTCCAATCAACTTTTATTTGATTAATCAGCTAATGCAACTATTACGCCTTCTTCAGTTCCTTTCACATCTTCCACAACCTTCATCCAAAGAACCACCTGTGTGACAAGTAGTTTCTTCTTTCATGGTGCAACAAAACAACCATATTGCCCCCTACATTTCCTGTAGGTTCCTGATTCCTATTGCAATCAGCAAATTTCTAGTGAGAACTGTTTGTAAACGCTTAATCCTTTTGAAACAAATGTACTCGTTTTCCCAACATAGAATAGCATAAAATATTTCTAATCAACTCGCCAAACAATCAGTGTCCTACTTCCCAAATCCATCTTTGCTGTTGGAAAATTCCCAGGTTACGTAACATTATCTTTAGGTTTGGGTAATATTTCTTACATTTTTTAATGGAATGCATTTTCAAAAATTAAAGGAGGTTCTTGTATGAATGACCAGAAAGACATTGAATTTTAAGTTTTTAGCTGTTTAACTGCCAATTTATTCTCCTTATTCATTGAGAACTCATTTGTGGGTGCCCTATAGTGTTCCTAGTCTTGTTTTTGGTATAATGGGAGAAATAAGAAGTGGACATGTTCTCCATAAACTGGCTATGCCTTTTCCCATCATTCAGTGCGATGCTAGTCTACAAGGGTGTCTGTTAGCTGGCGTAAAAGCGTTAGCAGTTAGCGTTCTCCTTAAGTGTATGGAGCTGTCCAATGAGAGGCAACTTGAAAAGATGTGGCTGGCTTAATATGTCAAGGAGGGAGCATCTGCTAGCTTACATTAGCTTTCCACTTTGCTAGCGGGAGGAACTGGCAACGTCTTAATGGTGGATCAAGATCCAAAAATCAAAAAAACATAAATCCACATTGACATTTTTCATAGCTAACACTGTTCTTGTTGAATCAGCATTGCTGAGTAATCACTGCAGCCCTGAACTGTCCAAACTGGCTATTTCTAATCCAGTTCCACCTGTTCTCAGAAAATGGCCGCCCTGCCTCAGTGTCCAGCTCTGAGACAGTGGGGCGGCTAGGGGCCGAGACTGGTCATTACTGGGTTTGGGAAGGCGATAATCCCTCTTTAATGAAGTGAGCCGCAGCCAAGTCCATCTCTCGCTCGTTCTCTGCCAACTAAGATGGAGGGATTTACAAAGAGAGGGAAGGAGGGACAAGTTTCTGTCTGCTTTCAGTTACCTGACAGGAACCACTCAGTCACACACACGCACAATTTCACGCTCCCTGGACAGCGCGTACACACCACCACGCCCGCACTCTGCCATTTGCACCCGCAGACACACAAACACATCCCACCTCCGACGAGTGGATGCTATTAGCGCTGCGCTAAACAGGAAATCAAATATTAATCCCGCAAACACGGCCGTGGAAATTGAAAAGTGAAGAACACTTACCATTTTATTATTGATTTCATGGAAATGAATTTCACAGACTTTCTCTACCACGTCTTCATTCTCGAAAGTTACGAAGCCAAAGCCTGCAGAGACACAGAGGAGAGAAAAGTGGTGAAGGAGTGCTGTGTTGGTCACCTCAATGAGCAAAAAAAGCAGCTACTGCACTGAATTTATTGGCATCAGCAACAAGTTTGGAGGAGTATCTGAATGCAAAAACACGATTCGAGCTGCCACTGTCTTTTTGAACTTGCCTAATCTAACCATACGCTAGCAGGCTTTAAAAAGACTCTGAAAAGACTTTCAAACGACTAAAGTCTGACACCCTCTCACATCAAAAGACAATGTCACAGAGATTTTAGACTGTGATTTTGCAGAGACTGGGGATCCAACTAGATTTTTGAGATTATTTCCCATCATGCACCTGATGGACATTTACAAGAAGAGAAACACTTTCTCTTCTCCACTCTATAGAGGGACAAATGGAAAGTCATGCTGGCTGTGAATGCTAGAATTATATAATCTTGCACTGTATTTTTTTAATTAACCTGTAAAATGTGCAGTTCTTTTTTTTATATAAAGAACTCGCTGAAAATTTCCAACAAAACATGCAGCAATTCAGCATTTATGATTGGTTGTTAAGAACTAAACCTTAAATAAACAAACAAAATAAGAAACCACTGTAACAGAAAGCAGAAACACAGAGGGCCTGATGTACTCGGGCTTTGCACCAGTTCCAGGTGCCAATCAAAAGCATTCTGGGTGTGTGTTATCTAACTGGCTCATGACTCTAAATGTGCAGTTTGTGGGCCGTGTGCATGATAAAACACATAATGCTCTTCTCTCTTCATACTTATGCTTTTGAGGGTACAAAACATGTATAAAGTGGGTGGAGATATTGCACATGTGGCTGATTATATATTCCCCTCGATTTACTAACATTTGAGAAATTCACAGCATAAACCAGGCATAAATTTGCATTAGGGTAAATTGTGCATTCTGCACTGTGCTCATATGTACATCTAGTCCAGACAGAGAGAAACAGAGAGAGAGAAAAGTGGTGGATAAGTGCTGTGTTGGTCACTTTTAAAACTTCAGTAAGTAAAAAGAGCAGCAGGATGAACTCCTGCGAATCACAATGGAGATTTATCAGTGAATCTGGAGAAGTATCGGGATTGTCTCCGAATCCGAAGGCCAAAAACCATCAGAGCCTTAAACGTGGGCCGAGCAGACATTGTCTTTTTGAAACGGGGGCCAATGATGAAAATCTCCGACATTATTAGAAACAGCGGAGAGGCTCCTCCACAAAGAGCAGAGGAGATGGGAAAACAGCACAAAAGCCCCTTTAATGAGATTCATGGGGACCCGGTCGCTGGCATCTGAATTTCATTAAACGCATTTTGTGTTCCCTTCATTGAAATTTCACTGTATAACAAGCTCTCGTTTTTATGGTAATGCGCCACTCGCCCGTATCTGAAACGTGTCGCTGACCGTGGGACTTCTTTCTCCCCCCCTCCGCCTCCATATTTATGAAATAAAAGCTTAACCCTTTCCTCCTGGCCAAGAAAGAGATGCATTCGATCCTGCTGGAGATGCACAAAAAGCGACTCTGTATGGCGGTGCCTCAAAAAGAGGGAAATTATTTGCTACCGCTGGGCGTTAATAGCGGCCCTACTGCGGGAACACAAAGCAAAACAAGTCCGGATGAATGGCTGGGCGCTCGGCCGCCGCTTGTTTATTCCGGCCGGCGAGTTCGGCAGCACCTGCTAATGCGCGCGCGCTCACACGCACTTCATCATCATAAACATCATTTCTATATTCAAGAGCAGCTGTGTTATGGAGACGAGTGACACACATACAAAGGGAAGATGCGCGAGGAGATGGCTGAAGTGGGAGGTTTCTGCTGACAGGCAGCTCTGTGCATCTGCACCTGTACAGTACCAGTCATAAGTTTGGCCACGCCTACTCATGGGTTTTCCTTAGTTTTATTATTTTTCACATTTTAGAGTAATCAGACATCAAAAGTTGGCTATTCAAATTAGCGCTTGTTGAAAAGAGGGGCATTAAAAAAAAATCAGAGACCACCCTTTCGTTTATTCAATTTTGAGTCATTCATTGTTATTATTATTCATTATATTATTTATTATTCATAATCAAGAATCATAATAATACATTAACACTAACTATAAAGTCTCTCTTTACATTTGTGCACCTACTGCTCACCCTTCCTCTGTGAGAAGACAACTCAACACTATGGGTCTGAAAGGATTCATACACTCTTAAAGATGGTTCTTCAAGGGTTCTTCAGTAAAGACAGTGGTTCTGTTTAGAACCATGAGCTCCGTATAGAACCATTTACATGCTTCAATGGTGAAATTCTTCTTGACTGATGGAGGACGTGTTGAGAGATGGAGAACCCACCAAAATGGGTTCTTCTACTGTTACAAGCTTGACATTGTAACAACAGTAGAACCATTCAACAATCTGAAGAACCATTCCACCACATATATATATATATATATATATATAATATATATATATATATATCGACACTAGCTATCAAACAATGCTGGATCTGGTTCCAGATTTCTCCTTAATCCCCCGCCCCAACGACCACATGGATTTGTTAAATTCCATCAGGTTTAATGTTTAATTTAATGAATGATATTGTGATATTGGTGTTTTTCTGAGCAAATAAATGCTGATTTTGCAGGAGCCTCAAACTTTTGACCAGGACTGTATGTTTTCTGCTTTTTTCCAATGCTAAAAATTAATAACCTTTGCTTTCTGTAGTTCCAGTGTTGGTTCGCGTTCTTATCTGTTCAGTGAATGCGCCCGGCCGAGGACCTGATCGGGATGTGAAATTTGAGGGGGAACTGAATCGAATACAACACCGGTGTCAGCCGTGTTGAACAGCTGTAGCTACAGACTGGTAACTACAAAAGTGCATTAGCTTGCGCGCATTGATCTCAGTTGAGAATGCGGTTTTGACAGGATATACAGAAGTGATCCTAGAGTAAGAGTTTATACTAAAATACATTTTAGGCACAAAACTATCACAAAACAATCACAAAACAATGTCTCAGGTATCAAGAAACGCATTCATAACCGTTTTGTGTAATTAACGGGATGTAGCTTTTAGAGCCGTTAAATGCTTCAGACGTCTGGTTCCTAGTACTATAATGGTGAACAATTCTGACTGCAAGTTTCTCTAGAAAGACACATTTCACACCGAATCACTCTGAATGATTTTGTTTACATCTAAACCATTGAATGATTAAGTAATTCTGCAAAAAATTTTACTATACAATAAATAAATGAAGGGTGTTCCCTGACTTTTTTTGCTGTGGAAATACATTCACATACAGGCTTTTGTCTAAGAAACAAATTTCAAGCATTTTTTTTTCTGTGAGTCTTTAGATCAGAAAGTCTTCAGCACATTCAGTTAGCAGTACTCAAACTTTTGACGGGCATTGTGCATTATTTATAGGCCGTGAACAGTGGTTGGAGAATACAGTGCCAAACCGCGAGTTCTTTACACATTTCAAACACCCCCACCTGCTAAATCATGCACTTTGATGAGCCTGTTTGCAGAGATCAGACGGCCAGGATCTGCTTCAGAACTGCAGCGTTTACCATCAAATCAGCTACAGAGCGGAATCAAGACCATTTCCACTGCAGATGTGTTACTGGAAACCTGCTCATGCTGCTTCCTTTGAGTCCGTGAAAGAGAGTCAGTATGTGAGCTGAATTTGGCCACAAGAGTGGAATGCGAGAGTCGTTACAGAGGCAGTTTCTGAACAGTGTAAACAGCGTAGTCACAATGTCATCTTAATTTAACTTCAGACAGGCCTACTAAAGGGGGAATTGAACAGATTTTTCAAATATGTCTGTGTAATTCAGTCGTTCAGATGAGAACAAGAATCATTCAGAGTGGTCTGATGTGAAATGCTCCGTTCTAGAGAAACATACTACAGACTCAGAACCGTTCACAGTGATGGTGATAGGAAGCAGACGTCGCCATGTCTATAACACAAATACAGACATTTATTTACTATCCAAAACTACCAGTGAACCTGCATGTGTGTACTGAGCTTTATATGTAATATTGATGATGGTAACATAGAAAACAATCTGAAAAACCAAAGTTTTCTTTGCCTCACAAACCTCACAAACCCTCTGCCATGAATTGATAAAACAAATGGATTAAAATTCATTTTAAGGCCAAAACTTCATCACAAAACTATCATAAAATGATGTATAAGGCATTAGGCAGCATATTCATAACATTTCAACTTTCTGTGAGGGAGCTTTTAGAGGTGGACGTCTGGTTCCTATCATCACCACTGTGAACAATTCTGACTCTAAGTTTCTCTAGAACTGAGCGTTTCACACCAAACCACTCTGAATGACTCTGTTTACATCTTAACCACTTAATTATGGAGAATATATGAAAAGTTGGTGGAGTTTTCCTTTAAACTCTTAGTATCTGTATAGCTGTATAGTTGACTTCCTATATTCTTCTCTCCTATAACTGAACCATAATAGCGCATTTATAAATCAATTCATAAGTAATTTAGGCAGAAATCAATCTGCATTATTTTGTATGTAATTACTGAATAATAAGCATCAGAATGGCGAATGTAGACCATAGCAAAGTTTGAGGAATTAGCACCTCCCAATGAGATCAGTGCTGTCCAGTCCTGCTCGTCCAAATCGTACAAACGCTGACTGTTTCACCCCCAGCCCGACACACACCTGTCTGCGCTCTGTTTCCCTCCTGTGAGCCGCACTCACCACTTAAACAGTCGGTGTGCGGGGGCCTCCCCGGCCCAGCCCTAATCTCAGCTGCTAATAGATAAAAGACCAAAAGGCAGCCAAGATCTACACATAGAGCTGACCTCCGACCCCTGCACCCGCCGCCACCCCAGGCACAGAGATAAGTGGGGCCAGGGGTCAAGTGCGGCAGATAGGAGTGGCGGGAAGAGAAATGGCCCCGGACCCTTCACACACACTCATGCACTCACACGGAGCGCAGATAGGGGGAGATAAAAGACAGCAGGGTTGATAAGAGAACATAAAAAAA